CCCTCACCGTGCGCAAGGGGGATGATCGCACCACGTCGTGTTAAAATGGTCAAGCACCCTCGAGGCAGTTACACAGTGCTTACAACTGTCTCTGGAAGTGAAAGCACCAGAAAGTAAATTAACTCATACGCAGCTGTCATCCGTACGCAAGGAAGTAAGCATAAGATGCCGAAAACCCTTAGCAGGATGCAGCGCACCCTTCATGCGACTCGCCGAATATCTCACGGCGCTTCGCGCTTGGTGATGTGAGAGCCTGGTCCGGTGAGAACCCGGCGTGCTCCGTCCCGGCTTTGTAGGGATGCGAGGTCAATGGTCTAACGACTACGGCATGCACGACTATGAGTACACCCCCCCCCTCGTTGCTTGCGCGACGAAAACGCTTTGGTGGTGTATGACAGGAGATCTGGTTCTGTGAGGAGGACAACAGCGACGCTCTCCTCCCTGCCGCAACTTCCAAGGAAGCCTCCGCTGCCGCTACGGCTTCCTCGTCGCTTGCGCGGAGCTCCCCGTCGAAGGCGAAGAACGTGGGCTGGGCGAGCGGGGCCGTTGCGGCGGCCGCGGCGCAGAGCGCGGCTGCCTCGATGGCGGTGAGCCTGGCACCTCCGCGGGGGTTGCTGTTTTTGTTGGTGTTGATTTTGATGCTGCTGTCTTTGTTGTAGTGATGATGCTGTTGATCCTACTGCTGGTGTTGCTGTTGCTGTTGCTGCTGCTGCTGCTGCTGCTGCTGCTGCTGTTGTTGTTGATCTTGTTGCTGCTGCTGCTGCCGATGTTGAATTGTTGTTGCCGGGGGGACGGTCTTGCTGGGTAGTCGAGAAGTTGACACCCTGGGGAATTGCTGTTTCTGGTGTTTTTGTTGCCAAGACTACGATGGTCGTTCTACACTACTGTAGCAAGTTGAGATGTCGACATGCTCGGGAGCTACCGCTGTGATGACTGGCACGACTCGCATGTTTGATGGTTGCAGAAATATCTTCCTTCCTCGCGAACGCAGTCTTTGTTGACAAACCGGGCACCGGATCAGGACATCGCAGGACACCTTCTGCACAGATTTTTTTCTTGTGAAATAACGCTCCTCTGCTCTACCCCTTCTTGCCGTATCCTCGTGCTTGTTCCCGAACATGGACACTGCTGAACGCTTCTCGGACACACGTACGACATGTTTTGCGTTCAGGTGACGGCTGTAGCGGTGCAACTGATGGAGGTGGTCCACGGGGTGAAGGACAACGATTGGCTGGTGAAGCTGCTGAGGGGCATGATCTGCGGGCCGGGTGCCGGCGACAAGCAAAAGAAGGTGGGTGCGTCACCCGATGCAACGACGTGTGCAAGTAATGGGCCTTACCCCTGAGGGAACGACAGAAAAAGGTACAGGTCGCGTAATCTGGCCGGACGGGTGGTTGGGCGACCAGGAGAAGCAATACAAGAAATCGCGAGATCGAGCGGGCCCATCACCACTGATACGGGAAACTCCAATGATGGCGGTGACAGCGACGAGAGGGAGAACGGGGTGTTGGTGCTTTTGCATCGTGCCTGCTCGCCAGGTTTGGCGCTACTGTACTGCTGTCGACCTCAGGGCACACCGGCAAGCTATCTTGAGCAACGCCCCCACCACCTAGTCTAGAGTAACAATCACAACCCCGCACCATCAACATGTTGCCGTAGAAAACCCGTCTTTGTGGTACCCCTCTTTGCTTGTTTTCCCCTCTTGCAGGAGAGCGAGTTCCTTGGGAATTATGTCATGCTGTGCCTCACAGAGCTGGCTGAACCAACGAGTCGTTTCGAGCACCACCGCAACGACGCCCACCTAAGAGTAATAATGACACCATCGCCACGCATCGCCATCAACAAGATTGTTGTCGCTCAAGTCGTTCCCTCGGTGTACCCTCGTTGTGTATGTACTCTAGTGTTGTCTGTTGCTGCCTCATGGTACCCTCGCTGATTGTGTACCTTTTTCTGTCGTGTCGACTGGTAATTTTCTCCGGCGGCCGCCAGGACCGATCCAAGAAGCGAGAGGCTTCCCTCAGGAGGTGCAAGGCCCTGGCACAGGCCCTGGTGAACGTCCAGCTGGGTCTCGACGAGGGGGTCAGCGCCGTACCCCCCGATACCGGAAGGTGGGGTGCGTGCTCTCGACGCTTTGTGTGTCGAACTTCCGGTACAGTAGCATCGGAAGAACGCAGCGTCTTCTCTTTCTACTGGTTGGTAGTGGTGTGTTGTTGGACCAGTGCTCTTGCCATCGCTGGTTGGTGGCCATGTTTGCGTGTTTGCTTGTCGTTAGTGGTCTCTCCACCGTGTGCCTTTTTCTGTCTCTTGTTTCTTGTTATTTTCGGCCTGGTCCCTTTTTGTCCTCGCTCTTTTTATTTCATTTTCTCTTTCCTTACTGTTTCCTTTTATTTTCTTCTCCTTTTCTCTTGTTCTCTTTTTCTCTCTTNTAGGGTAGGTTAGCCTGCGACCATGGGAATCGACCGCGTCGAGTGTTGGATCAGTAAGGACATACGGAGGTACTGGGTAGAGAGAGATCGGAACGGTTTTTAGTGTGAAGACAACAACAACAACAACAACAACAACAACAACAACAACAATTGCTATTGCTATTGCTATTGCTATTGCTATTGCTATGGCCGTTGCTATTGCTATTGTTATTGTTGCTGTTCTGGTTTGGTGTTCGTGAACAAGAAAATGCACGATTTGCTAGTTTATTTGGTAACCGTCTTTCTTACTTCAACAGCTTACGTATCCCCTTGTCCACCCCCCCCCCCCCCCCCCCCCC